GAAGGAAGGTTGGGCAATCCTACTTCCGTAGTGATACTGCCTCGGAAACCCAAGAAGGGGTCGCTATGAGTCGGGGCCGACTCGACGGCACATAACAACAACAACAACAACATGAAGTCCTATAGTGTAAAAACCAATTCAACTATGTACAATTCAGCATTCCCCACACAAATCTCACTACAAATGACTTTCTCACATAGTTCCTGCTCTGGAAAACAATACTGATATCAACCATGTGTGGCCAAAAAAAATCCAGTAATCCTTTAAACTCATGGAGACTCAGTGAGGCTTTATAATTGGGAATTGAGTCCTGTGTTTTTTCTGTAAACTGGGACATTGCTAATAACCTTTCTAGTTACCTTGAGTCCACAGCGGTAGGCTTCTACTTTATCCAGATCCAGGCAGACTGTTTCCTCTTCTGTGAGTCTGGCCTCGTAAACCTTTAGCATGTCTTCTGTCTGGAGGAGAGCTTGGAGGAGTGCTCTCACGGTGCATAAGCTGGAAGAGCAAAGGAGGCAAATAAAATTGCTAGTAACAGACCAACATCTGGCTCTTGGTACAATTAACAGAAGAGAACAACATTAAAGCACATAAAAAATTATTTTGTCTATTTTGTAAGTTAAGGGAATGATAATTTTAGTTTTTTCTTCTCCATCATGACTCAAACCACCATTTCAAATTCACTTAAGAAGTCTTAAGTTCTGGACCCAAGAGTGTAACTTCCTTCTAAAATGCATTAGATTTCAAATAATGGAAGTAACATCCTAGAGGATAGAGCACACTCTCTCATAACCACAGAATAATGTAAATAAGCCTCTAGTAAGAAAAGAAACTAAGACTAAATCAAGGGCTCCAGTCAGTAAAGTATATAAATCCAATTAAATCTGAGAAAATGTAATTTAAGAAAAGCAAAATATCTGAGATTAGTGTTAGTTGTGTTTACCTATTTAAGTAGCCATCTGTAACACCATTGATATTTTCCAGTTTCTGAAACAGTCCAAATACCTCATTCTGTAAATAGCAGTATTTTTCAGAGCCTCTGAAGTTAGCTAGCATATCCTTAAGCTGGTTGAGAACTTCAGCAATTGCTTGTGAATCATTCTGCACACTCTGTCAAAAAAAACAAAAAAGGAAAGCGCCTCTGATTTATACAGTGTAATTTCTTTATAATCATTTTGTCCCTAAAAAGTATTGAAAGCAGAGACTTAAACAGACACGTGTCCACCAATTTCACTGCAGCATTATTCACAATAGCTAAAAGGTGGAAACAACTGAAGTGTTCATCAACCAATGAATGGATAAACAAAATGTGGTATATCCATACAATGGAATATTACTTAGCTATAAAGAAAAATGAAGTGCTGGTACGTGCTCTGATATGAATAAACCTTGAAAATATGCTGAGTGAAATAAGCCAAACACAAGAGAACAAATATTATATATGATACTACTTATATGAAATAGAACGCAAGGAGCGCTGGTGGCAGCATTTGGCTGCGATCCACAAGGTCAGTGGTTTGAACCCATCAGTCCTCCACAGGAGAAAGATGAGGAAGATGTGCTTCTGTAGAGATTTATAGCATTGAAAACCTTATGGGACAGTTGTGCTCTGTCCTATAGAGTCATTATGAGTTGGAATACACTCAGTGGGCAGTGGGTGGGTTAGAATGCAAAGGCAAATGCAAGAAAACAAAAAGTAGGTAAGTGATTGCCTGGGGCTGGGACAGGAGGAAACGGGGAGTTATTGCTTAAAGGGTACAAAGTCTTATTTGTTGTTGTTGCTGTCAAGTGCTTTTGAGTCAACTCTGACTCATAGTGACCCTATGTGCAATAGAACAAAACACTGCCCAGTCATGCACCATCCTCACAATCCTTGCTATACTTGAGTTCTGTCTGGAGCAATGAAAAAATTTTGGAACCAGTGGTAATGGTTACACAACACTGTGAATATATAATGCCACTGAAAGACACACTTAAAAATGGTTAAAATGGCACATTTTATGTGTCTATTTTACCCCAACTTAAAAAAAAAAAAAGTACATATAAAGGATTCAAGAAAGAGACAGAGTTGCCCTTTCATTTCTTTCTTTAGGGAAGCCTTCTTATCAACTGTGTAAGTGTGGCCCTGTCCTACAGTATTACGTACCTGAGGCATTCCAATGCTATACCCAGGTTTGGTTGAACAGAGAAGATCACTGAGTTAGGAGTTGAAAGGTTGGCCCAAGTTACAACTCTTAGATGGCTTTGAGATTTTAACCCCATCAAATCTCACCATGTCAATTTCCTGTTTACCTATATCATAGGCTGTTTCAGGCAGAAGACAAATTAATGTTTGTAGAAACTCTTTGAAATCAACATAGTACTATACCCTATGGAAGAAACAATTTGAGCTTGATTCATCAACCTATAAACCAACAGCAAAGGTGCTTTAATCCACAGCCTGATGACCTTCCATAAATTGGAATTATGTGAAAGAAAAAAGGAAATCCTGCCAGAAGCCTATTTTCTTGAAAATTAATTTCTTGTCTACAAATATTTACAGCAGGAAGTTGAAATCTGGCAAAATATCCATCAGTACCCACCTTTAGCTCGTTTATTTTCACTGTGATGTGGTGTGAAGAGCCTTGGTCAGCAAGAAGGATGTTTTTCAGGGTCATTCGGCCCTCACAGTGCTCCATCTGCCTACGGAGCTTCTGGAGCTCCATCAGTATCCACGTCTCCTGCTTGTCATTCTCTCTGTTGGTTTCAATCACTTTATTATGGTTGACATCTTGGCAGGAACCAAGGTGAGTGATTTCAGTTGTTGTTACTGTAAAAATACATCAGGACCACAAAAATCAGAAAATTCATACCCAGCAGTGTGCTACGCCTCAAAAAATATTCGCACTGCATAAAAATATGCTTATTTCAAGTAAATCAATCACAAAAGGACAAATATTATATGATCTAATGCATATGAAACAGCTAGAACAGGCAAATGTATAGAGACCAAAGAGAAGGGGAAAAGGGGAGTTGTTTAGGAAATACTAAGTTTCTGTTTATGGTGATGGAAAAGTTGGCCAACAGATATTGGTAATGACTGCAACACAATATTAATGTAATGGGTGTCACATGAAAAATGTGAAACTGGCAAATGTTGTATTATATATATTTTTACAGCAAGAACAAAATGTTCATTTCATTTGATTTCATTCTGAAATTTAGCACATAAATGAGTTTTTTATGTATTTTTTTCAAAGATACAGTTCCAAAGTAAGCTTTATGAAAACTACTTTTTATTTAAAAAAAAAAAAACAACACTGAACATGGTTGGTGCAATGAGAAAGGTGTCACAAACCTACCTGTCTGGTGCTGGGGGTGGCCAGGCAGCTGTATGACCAGGGTCTGGTAGTGCTTCTGCGCATCAGTGAACTGAGACTGCATTTTCCGTTTGTCATCATCTCCAAACATCTCCGAGCCTTGGCTATTTCTAATGAACTCTTGATAATGTAACTCAAGATCAGAGATTGTCTTCATGTAATCTTCTTGGCGCATTGTTTTCAGCTGAAAATAAACCAAGCAAACGTTATTTAAGACTGGCCCACAGTGCTGCCAAGAAGTGTCACTGAAAAATGCCCCAACCTTCTAGAAGGGGCTTGAGGTGCATTTGGGATGTATCCAATAGATACAAAAATCTTTGAGGCAGGGATCCAATAGATATAAAAATCTTTGAAGGGACACCGAACTTCTGTTAAAGGTGGTGGAAATATTTGATAATGGTTAAGGGTGATGGTTGTACACTGAATTGCACTGACTTGTACATGTGAAGATTACAGAAATGGCAAAAGCTCTGTTGCCTATATATTGACCACATTTTTTTAAAAGGTCTTTGATCATTTAGAAACTATTTTCTTTCTTAAAAACTATAGCAGTAGATTATCAATCTTACTTTCCTACAGAACTCTCTCTTCAAATGAAATATTACCCAGAAACCCCAAACATAAAGCAGATCACAGCAAAGCTGCTGACTGGAGAAAAGGGAATGGGACACCCTGAAACCTTCTCATTCCATGCCTCTCCTTCACTTCCATCCTTGACACCCTAAAGCACCCCTCTGTCTAGGATTCTTCAGATCACAATTTGGAAAACACTAATTTTGATTCACTAATGCTTTGGTGTTCTTCTAAGAATTCCATCCCAACTTTTACTTTTGTGCTATCCAATTAATACTTTACAACCTAACTTTCCATTATATTCTGAACAGTGCAGGACAATGGGCCTTTCCAAAGGGCACTTTCAACTTGTCAGGTAACTTTAATATTTCTGCTTATCTCATAGTCAGCCATTAATTCCTCCCATTCTATACTGGATGGAGCAGAACCTCTAAGGAAGGTTGCAAAGATTTACTGATGAAATAAATGTAGCACTGATGTAGCACAGCTACAGGACCTGTCTGGTAGAAACAGGTACTGCAGAGAAGCTAGCCACCTCCCTCCCAGCATCCTGAGGGTTAGGTGGACATACCTTGGCGATGGTCATGGCCCTAATTTTCTCAATGTCAATCATGCAGTAATGCCAGGACACCAGACTCTTCATGTTGATGTAGAGCTGGTTCCATAGAGCCAAGATGGCTTCATAATACTGCTCAATCCTAAGAAGCACAAAGGGAAAAGAGACTAGAAACAGACTTTCATACTCTACCTCAAATGGGAAACCTGGACGTGTTTATACAACAACACAAAAAACTAAAGTCATAACTGACAAAGTCACAAGTGCATTGCAATTTTCAAAACATTCAGCATTTCAGTGGATTTGGACTAGTTTATTTCCCCAAAGCACACTGTCAATTATCTACATTACAATGGACAATTCAAATTCTTTTGGTTAAATAGACAGTATGTTTTTTTACGGTGGTGGTTTTGTTTGTGTGTTACAAGTGGGCAGAAACTTGTCAACGGACAATGATGATGGCTGGAGCTTGATAATGAGCATGGGAGGTTCATTTTGCTGTTCTCTTTACTCTTGTGTATGACTGAACCGTTCGTTCCACAACAAAAGGTTTAAAGGAATCTGCATGAACCATCTGTAAAATGGATGTCCCATCTATTGATGAGCAAATACTCATTGGAAAACCATATATCTGTCGCTACATGCAAAATTATTGCTTATCTAAGAAGGAAAGAAGAATGTCAAACCAATACATTTGAAATAAACAAATATAAGTCACTCCTGCCCTTTGTCACAGTCAGACATTATTTTTTATCCTCTAATAATAATTATAGTATCTTTAACATAAAACTGCAAGACAAAAGTAAAGTGATTTTCATAAAGTTTCTTTTTAGGATGTGAATGTTGGGCAGGTGGTCTGTCACATGGCCATGTGACCCTCATCTGAACTACTTAATCAGAGCCTTGGGCCTGGAACATTTCCTGATTCTGAAGGCTGGGAACTGATCCTCTCCCTCCATCCGAGTTTCTTCTTTTTCCTTATCAAGATGGGTCTGATAAGTACTGATTTGTTCTGTTTATGCATGTTCATCACCAGGAACCTGGCCAACCCCATGGCTATATCTGTTCCCTGTGGGGAAGTCATGGGGTCCTTCACCTAAAGCACAAAAGTACTACGTGCAGACCACCAGCCCTGAAGAGTAAGACCCAGCAGCCACTGAGGCTGACCTTGCTCTGTTTCTTCTCTATCTGAATAAAGCATTATTACAACCAGTGCCTGTGTGAGTTGTGTCTTTTGGGCGACCTCAAACCTTGGCTTGCCAGTGAATATAATAAGGAATAGTTTGTCTAAGTTTCTTCACTCACATTCATGCTATAGCTGTTAGGAACTTTAACAACTTACTTGCAAGAAAGGTCAATGGCCAGTGGGTTTGGAGGTGGAATAATCAGACCCACAGAAGGAACCAGCATGTCAACGCCTCCTGGGCCCGTTACATACCACTTGCTGCGCTCAGTGTTGTCCTTCAGTATGCACTCATCCCCTTTGTGCACAATTTTCTGCAAGGCAAGTAGCACACGGTTGGCTTTAATCGTAAGTACACATTCTTACCTTTCTTCAAAGACATAAACAGATACAAACATGAAAACTGAGTTTTTATCTTAATTATATTTTTTCTCAAATAATGTTAATCATTACACAAGCCACCAATGGTAATGGTGTATGTTTCTTTAAATAATACATGGGAGCCTAAAAAGTGTACATAAAGTGAGCTGTGTTTAAAGTGGATTAGATGACATAACTTTTCAAAGACAGCCTAGGAACCCATTAGTAAAGTGAGAAATCTTTTTGTAAGTTCATGTTTTATATATTAGATTTTATTATCCAGGCTCATTTGTCTGATTGCTTTGTTCTTAAAATTTTTAAATAAAAAACTTGCAAAGATAATCTCAACTACTGCAAGACATTTGTAACATTCACTTTATATGCAGCATAATGGTTCCAATTTTCATTTCTTTTATGGCAGAAATTTAAAGATGAGAGAGATCACAGATAAGTAAATCTTATATATTAGATGAAAGAAGTCCCAAGCCCTATAAAAAGAATTTGAACCACAATTTTTACATATAAGAAGAAAGAAGTATCAAGCTTTAATAAATCATTTAAATAGCAAATACTATTGTCTTAACAATTGACGATTATCATTTGATAGTGAACAAAGCTATAAGCATTTGTTCATCAGATTGCAGCTTTCTACTTAAAAGAAAAAAATATTTACTATGGTGCTCACTGAAACCTAGACTAAATTTGTCTCTCTGATTGCCGACAATCTATAGGTTCAGAAAGGAAACACTTTTGTATCATTCTGAGTAACTGAGTGCACACCTGGTCTTGTTTGTAGTCACAAAGAGCCCTGAGAATAATGGGCTTATTGCTTCTGTAGTCTGGGTTTCGTGGTTTCAGCTGGACAATCTTCTTGGACTTGTTTACCAAGCTCTGCACCTGACGCTTGTATTCAAGGATTTTCTCCCGCTCTTTCTGCAATTACAAATTAAAACTGTACTTTAAAATAGATACCTAGTGGACTTTGGATAAGATCTTCAAATGACTAATAGAATTACTATGATAGTACAGATTAAATATCACTATAGTTACATTAGCTGTAAAAAGCCACATATTCATCTTTGAGAAATATGGGAACCTTTCAAAGCACACCTCTCAGGAAGCTATTAGGCCATGAATTAAATGGATAGGAAAGAATATCCCTGTGTGAAAGGACTCTCTTGATAAAACCCAAAGTATGCTTTTCCAGAGGAATTTTCATGTTAAGCAATCAGGGTCCCCTTTGTTTTTGTTTTAATAAAAACTCTGAACAATTCACACAGACACTGTGAAGCAAGAATAATTTTCAGTAGTAGTTGAGCATGTAAAGAAATTCATTCTGAGAAAAGCCACTGGAAAACAATGAAAATGCTAGCTTAAGCTCTGGCATGCTTTATTCTACATAGTAATACAAAGTAGCAGTAAACCGTGTTGGGCAGAGACATGCCATTTCCCCACCAGTCCGGCTATAGGGCTCTGGGTTTGAGCATACCTCCAGCTCCTTTATCTGGTCCAGCAGACGCTGCAGAGGCATATTCTTATCACAGGGGTACTTCTTCCTAATGGAGTCCTGCAGGCCCTTCAGGTAGGCCTCGGTTGACTGGGCCTCTTCAAAAAACTAGTGACAATGAGAATGGTTCCATATAAATCAAATGCAACTGAATGAACAATAAAACCAAAAAATTTAACCCATTGCCACTGAGTCGATTCTATCTTATGAGTTACAGAGTAGAACTGCTCCTCATGTGTTACAGTGCTCCATAGGGTTTTCTTGGCTACAGTCTTCACAGAAGTAGATCACTAAGGCTTTCTTCCATGGCCGGGGGTGGTTCAAACTGGTATCCTTGATGTTAGTAGTTGAGTACAAATATCACTTACTACCCAGGGACCTCAATAAACAGTATTTTCTAGTATTTCTATTTCAACGAAAATAATCTCCTAAAAAGTCTATGTGATAGGTAGCCAAAGGAAAATCTTAGAGAAAATATATTAACTTAATGTGAGTGACTGGTGACCAGGTTACAAATCTATACCCCTTTATGAACTGAAAACCAATAAGCATTACTTATGTAATGTTTTGAAGATTGTTTTTTAATCCTTTTTAATGCACACACAAAATCTAAGATATTAAGTCCTATGAGATAATAAAAATTAATTCTAAGTATAAATACCTGAAAGTAGGCAGCATTTTCTTTGAGGTGAACATCAATACATTTGGTGATCTGCAGAATCCAACTCCATTGGGTCTGAAGAGTATCCATATACGCCTGAAACAAAACAGTGTTGTCAACAGTATAAAGCCCAGTGACATCGAGTTGATCCCGACCCATGGCTACCCTGTGTGTGTCAGAGTAGAACTGTGTGTCACAGCATTTGCAATGTCTGTAATCCCATCGAAGCAGATTACTGGACCTTTCTTCTATGACACTGATGGGTAGGTTCAAACAGCCAACTTTTAGGTTAACAGTTAAGTGGAGATCCTTTGTGCCACCCAGGAACCATTCTCAGCAGTATAGAGCCTATGTGTCCTCAATAGAGGAAGATCAACGAAAGCTCTGAAATCAAGCAAACTTTTTTCTGAAAATTAAAAATGGAATTTCCCAACTGGTTGATCTTGGTAAGGCAGAAATTAAATTTTAAAATCAGTTTTAACAAATAGATACCATTAAAAGGATAAGTCTTAATATTTACATACCCAAATGGCAGAGCTGCTGACCAATCAGAACAGACACTGGTGAGAATACTGAAAACTCTATTCCAAGCCTTGTTCCTATAGAGTTGCTAGATCATGGGAAGGTCTGAGGCAACCAGAAGGCTGGATGAGAGGCTTAAGGCAATTACTTTTACCAACATATATGGAAGTATTTTTCTTTACAATCAATATGGCCATACCAGTGCTGTCAGCCAATGTCAGTCCTGAGAATAGCCCACAGACAGTAGTCTAGGGCAGAGGTCAGCAAACTACAAACCAAGGGCCAAATCCAAACTTTATCTTTTTTAAATAAAGTTTTATTGGAACACAGCTATGCTCATTCATTTATATATTGTCTATAGCTGCTTCCATGCTATAATGAAAGAGTTAAGTAGTTATGACAGAGACCAAATAGCCTGCTAATCTAAAATATTTATTATCTGGTCCTTTCTAAGAAAAGTTTGCCAACCCCTGGTCTAGGGCATTGATCTCAAAATATAAAATAAAGTTGGCATGGCCTTATGATGGAGAAGACACATTCATTTGTGAAAAGTTGTTGTTTTTTTTTTCACTAATAAAAAATATTAATTTCATGAAGCCTACTTCAATTTTGTCTGAAGCTGGATGCTGATTGAGAACAAGTTGGTCACTTTCTTGTTTAAGCTTATTGAGCTCTTTTTCCTTAACTTCCAGTTGACTCATCCGTATCTGTGAATGAAAGATCAGAAACAAATCCTTTAGAGCGAGTCATTATTAGCCTTCCAAGCCATTTCTAGTATTTAAAAGAAGTCAAATGCAAAACTGCATTTTGGAAATGAGAAAAGTCAAAGAATCATATAATTTTTTTCCTTAAGTAACTTAGAATTTTTAATGCTGGGAAGGATGTTTGAGATCATCTAGTAATTAAACCCATTGCCATTGAGTCAGTTCTAACTCACACTGACCCCCACTGGGTTTCCAAGGCAGAAAATCTTTATGGAAGTAGACTGCCCAGTCTTCCTTCCACAGAATGGCTGGTGGATTTGAACCACCAACCTTCTGGTTAGCAGTCAAATGCCTTAGACACGACACCACCAGAGCTCTTTAGCATATAACTGAAGGCAGACTAGTGAAATGGCTTGTCCAAAATCACACAAGTAGAGTGACTGCAGGTAGTTGTTGTAACTAATACAGAGATTTTCTAATTCCAGGTTTTTATCCAGCATATTTCAGTGCTATATGCACTCTGGTAGCATAGTGCCTAAGGCACTTGACTGATAACCAGAAGGCTGGCGGTTCAAACCCACCAGCCACTTCTCAGAAGGAAGGTTGGGCAATCCTACTTCTGTAGTGATACTGCCTCAGAAACCCAAAGAGGGGTCGCTATGAGTCGGGGCTGGCTTGACGGCAAATAACAACAACAACAATATATGCACTCTTGGTTATGTGAATGAATGAATGAATTCTACCATATCTAAATAAACCACTGTCTTCTGGGTTATTGAACAATGTTTTGCCCCACTCAAGCCACTAAAAATCTCTCAGAAGTGAATGATTTCCCAGGACCATTTCAACCAAGGCTGAATTATGAATAGCTGATTATTAAAAGGCCATTCATTCCAAGACAGCAGTAGCCCTCCAAGACAACAGTGTCTAAACAAGAATCTACAACTACTGGGAGGCAAGCTTACAGAGAAGGCCTCTTGCTTCTGAGCGATGTTGGTGTTCTTGTCACTCCAGTCATAAAGCAGCTCCTCCTCCTCACAGTCATTGATCCACATGATCTCCCGGGATGTGGCCTGGATGATGCTCTGCAGCTGCCGCAGGTGATCCATCCTCTCAAAGGATGCTTTCTGCAAGGAACATTCAAAGGTAGCAGCTGAGTAAAAACGTGCAGTATGCTCTCTACAAACTTCCCTGATAAACCACTCTGGTCCCTTTTATAAGAAAATCACGAGAATAGGTAGGATGTTAACCTCATACGTGACCACCACCTGGAATGTGAAAAGGGTTGATCCAGACAGTGTGATGAATAATACAGAAGAATCATGATTCAGTAATGAATTTTAGACTACAAAGATAAAATGGATTCTTAAAAAGATAAATCAACTAGAATAGGCAAATGTATAGATACCAAAGTTTCTTAGTACCTGCCAGGGGCAGTAGGGTGGGGAGAAGAGGGAATCATTGTTTAGGAAACAATGAGTATCTATCTGTTAATCATGATGGAAAATTTGGCAACAGATACAGGTGATGTGGCATGGCATGAATAATGTAATTAATGTCAGTGAATTGTAAAGGTTAAAACTGCTGAACTGACAAATGTGTTATATGGATTTGTATCACAATGAAAAGAATGAAAAAAATTAATTTTAGAAAAAAGATAAATCACACTTTTCCTGCCCTCTTCCTCCCCCAAAATTCAAACTGCCTTCAGTCACACCCTAGCTAAGGAAAATTGTTGTGTCACCCCATATTTTCCTCCTAGTATTTTAAAATTGTCACTGCCAACAAGGAAATATCAAGAGTGAAGATATGGATACATAAACTGACACCAGAATGGAAATACCTATTCTTCTTATGCATCAAGTCACCATATGGTAAATATAGCTTGGTAAACCTCTAGCAGAGGAAAAGAAGTCTTATTTTTGCTTATAGGTCATAAAAAAAGGTTGCAATTCACAAGCAGGAAGCTGCATAAACTGAAAGCATTTAACAAGTCCATTTATGTGACACTTGAAAATCAAACAGTGCTAGGTGCTGTCTAAAAACAACACAACACTAAAAGGGAAGTTAGCGATCTAGGAGCACCTAAGGGTCTTTCCAACATGGCCAGGTATAATGCCAGGCATGGTTCTCACCCTCAGGTGGCCCTCAGTATTTGTGGAACTGATAGAACTGAACATGAACAAAGACTGCATGCACTTCAGAAATAAGTTGGCTTACCAGCAGATTTTCATACTCCTCCTCCAACTGGTAGATGGCAGATTTCTCACGCTAGAAGAAGACAAAAGTGAGTAGATTTGTATAGAAAGAGCAGCCCCAGCTCACCTCAATACAGTGACATGTTTGCTCTATGAAATCTTTTACCAACAGGGAGCTTTTCCCAGGTGGTTTGAAGGTGAACACTCACTGGCTGGTAATGTCACCTCCACAATGTAAAGGCCTAGTAACTGCCACTTAAAGATTCCCATATGACAAAATTAAAAAGTTTAAAATATGATTTAGGAAATAAGGAAGCAAACTAACTGGCTGCTAAAAAAATAAAGTTGCCATTGAGTCAATTCTGACTCATAGTGACCCCATGTATCACAGAGTAGAACTGCTCCATAAGGGTTTCTTGACTGTAATCTTTATAAAAGCAGACTGTCAGGTCTTTCTTCTGTGGCACTGCTGGGCAGGTTCAAACGATCAATCTTTAGGTCAGTATGCGAATACAAGCCCTTTATCACCCAGGGTACTCAGAGAGCCAAAAAAAAAAAAAAAAAGCCAATAAAAGCTAGAAGAAGAACTGAGGATGAGTATGTTTGGTCTAACTTTAAAAAGTTAATGATTTAAAAGTATTTGGGGGGTGTGTGTGTGTGTGGGGGGGGTGAGAGACTAACAAAAAAAGTGCAGGGATCTGGAGGCAAACCAAGCAATTAAGATCAGACTACTATTTTACACTATAATTGATTTAGACTTGTCTTCAAATCTGACTTTTTCAAAGAAAAGCCATCAGCATGAAACATGATTTACTTTAGTAGCAACACATTTTAATTATCATATTGGAAAGGATTCACCAATGATATAAAACTGTATGATTGTCCTGTTTTCCCTATTTGGGGAGATGCTCTGCTTTCTGCAGAAACACAACTACCATGCACATAATCTTTATTTAAGCTTCACATCAAGGAGAATGTGCGTACCCTGAGCCTCCTGTTTAACAGTCAAGCGCCTGCACAGTCTACAGTGGGTCCATCCCATTCCACTTCCCCATTTATGAAATGGGGTTTTAGAAAATTTCCAGTCTTTCAGAAAGAAAGAAAAGGCAAGTGTTTCAGACTAAACTGCCTGGAGTAGAAAGTAGTTATATTATCCTTCAGAATGCTTTTTAAAGGGCTTCAAAATGGAACTTTTTATTTACCAGGTCAGCTTTGATTTTGTCCAGCTGCCAGCGATAGTCCCCGATGGCATTATGAATGCCCCTGTGGCTGTTGATGTGCTGCTCCACAGAAGCCAGGTCCACGCCCCAGGTCACCAAGTCCATGTCGGTCTGCAGAAGTGGAAGAAAGAACACACTCTTAGAGTGTCACTCTTTTGCACCTGGCTTATCTTATCTACTGCTTCTGGGGGTCTAAGTACCAAGAAACATGCACAGCATGTTGTGATAAAACTGTAAACCAAACAAAACCAAACTCACTGCCATTGAAAATTGAGTCAATTTTGATTCATGGGTTTCTAAGGCTGTAAATCTTTACAGAAGCAGACTTCTCCATCTTTCTTCTGCATAGCAGCTGGTGGGTTTGAACCACTAACCTTTGGGTTAGCAGCCAAATGCCTTAACCACTACACTACCAGAGCTCCTTGATAAAACTAGAGATGGAAATACTAAGTTTTTTTGAAGTAAAAATATTTTTCAAAGTTCAGGATTACCAAACAGCCAATGGACGTTGCCACAAATTTTCCTGAACTTGTATAACCCAAGCCCAAAGTGGACTGAGGAGATAATCTAGAAATTGCATCCTTGAAATCTAGAGAATACTCTCGGGGACGAGGGTGGGGGTGGATCTACGTGTGCACGTGCAAGTGTGTGTGTAAAGATATTAGTATCGTGTTATATATACATATGATATAACAATATTATAAAGATAATGATGGTGGTTTCTTTACTCAAAGCAAACCAAACTCACTGCCATGGAGCTGATTCTGACTCATAGCAACCCCCATGGGGTTTCCAAAGCTGTCAATCTTTATAGAAGCAGATCACCTCATCTTTCTTCCACAGAGTGGCTGGTGGAGTCAAATCATTAAGCTTTTGGTTAGCAGCCAAATGCCTTAACCATGACACCACCAGGGCTCCTTTCTTCACTCAAGGCATTTAAAATTAGACATCAAAAATAGTTTGTTCAACCATACTGTTTCCCAAGCGAATTAGCTAACCTAAAAGTATTTCTCAAATTATTTTGATTAACGTAATTGTTGATTCCTTAAAATCTAGTATTTATTATCCCCTCTTTTCAGGATCTATTTAATAGCATTATTATCAATTGCTGTGAGACATAATACAAAGGTCTCTGTAGCCCATTTCAAAAAGAATTTATTATACATATTCCATGTCTTAATTTCAATGAATGTAAGCAATATTAACATTGTAGGTTTATGTTAGGTTTGTTTGTTTTTGTTTGCTTTTTAATTTAATCAGACTAAATTTATTGAGTCTCCACTACTTCAAATTCAAGAATGCCACATAGCAGGAATCAAATATGTTACTTCACACGTGTCACACTGTGGGCAAGTCTATTGTTTCACCTTTCTTTTGCTTGAGCATATGTAAATTTCCAAGCACCTATGTCATCTCTCAGACATGCCAAGGGCAAGCATTCCAATGTGGCATTACGACAAGAACATAATACGCATTGTTCTGAGCCTCAGCCATGTCCCAACAGACTTGGCAAGCCTTCAGAAAGGGAAGTCATTTCAGGATCAGACAACTAGGAGTCACCAGGGACTTTGACCCTTCTCTCCCATGCTCATTCACACTTTAAAACAGAAACACAGCAACAGCTAGGCGAGTGCCCTCGGAAGTACATAGGAGGAACAGCTCTAGCTCATGGCCCTCATTATCAGCCTGGAGGATAGTATCTGACCCTTGCATCACCAGAAACACAAATCTAAGAAACAAAACAAAACCCTGGCAAAGGAGCCATGTGCCTGTCTATTGACTGTGCAACTGAGGAAATGGCCCCCTTTGTCAGCTGGACACTGCAACTCAGTCTCCTGGGAGTGAAATGAAGAAAGCAGGCTAGGCTCAGGGGAGGAAGGGATAAGAGGAAAAAGGTTGGGGAAAATCATAGAGCAAACCAGCAGGAAGAGATAAAATACCTTTTAGTACATTTGAAACCCTGCGGTGAAAGGCTCTGATTCTCATCAATCCTATCTGTTAAAAAACACTGCCACACCAGGACATAAAATTGAGTCCATTTGATAATACTATTTTCTGAAATTTAAACATGTTGAGCCTTTGCTACAAAGCATGCTTACAAAGCTACATTACTACAGAGAATGAATGACAAATTATGACCTGTCATTTTATATAACTGTTCATTAGTGACTGAGAAGAAATTAGAGGATATGACATTCATAGCTAATTTGGTTCAAAGGTTGTTTCAGCTAACATCACTGATGCTTAAGAAGCAGCTCAAACCCCAGCAGCAGGTCTTCCTTTGAAAGCTCCATTACACAGTGACCAAAGCACCTCATTCTCCCACTCCTAACTAAGCAAGATTTCATCACAGCTCTCACATGGGAATTAATCGTGTTGCTCTGGATTGAAATTTGGCATGTTGGTTGTATGCACTTTCTTTCTTCAATAATAGGATGATGGGGCATAATTCTTGAATCCTCATTCCCAGCACAGTGCCGACACACGTAAAATGCTTAAGAAATATGTGTTCAAAGATTAGAAGGGAATTTGAAAACATGCAAATAGGTGCGTACTGAGGTTTCTGGAATTACAACAGACTTTTCTCTTTTTTAAGTTCCACTTTCTGTCATAGTATTTTATAGTTCCCATCAAGTCTACTCTAACTCATGGTGACCTCGTGTGTGTCAGAGTAGAACTGTGCTCCACAGAGATCTCAATGGCTGCTTTTTCATAAGCAGATTTCCAGGCCTTTCTTCCAAAGTGCCTCAAGGTGGCCTCAAACTTCTAATCTTTCATTTAGCAGCAGAGTGTGTTAATTGTTTGCACCACTTAAGGACTCCATAATAGTATTCTCAAAAAAACCCAAACTCACTGCCATCGAGTCAGATCCAACTCACAATGACCCCTCCTTGGGTTTCCGTGGTGGTATCACTATGGAAGTATGTTGCCCAACCTTCCCTCTGAGGAGTGGCTGGTGGGTTTGAACCGCCAGCCTTCTGGTTAGCAGTCAAGTGCCTTAGGTACTATGCTACCAGAGCTCCTATAATATTAGTATTAGATAGCCTTTATAATAAATGGGAGAAAATGTTAACCAAATCAGTGAATGACTAGTCACATGGGCCCTCATAGCTTAGGAAAGAACACATACGAGAATTTTAAAGTGTTTGCGAAACTTCAGAACCACTGTTAAATTGGTCCAATGACATCTAGTAAAGCCAAGCATCACCTAACAAATGATCTTGCCACAACTTATTATTCTAAGTTATCTACTGTCTCAAGAGAAAGATGGGTCATAAGGGCCAGGTCTTCATTATAAAATTCCCATCTACATGATTATGGCATATTTCAACTGCCACCTGTTCATTACATGCCTCATCATTACATAAAACAAAAAAACAACAATTAGGATTCAAACATACACTGTAGAAACTCTAGTTCTAGGGAAAGGAACAGCACATAATTTAGTGGCCATTATTTTACTTCACTCCCACGCCAGTGATGTCATATTTACACAATCAGACAGCTGACACTTCAAAAGCCAGTAAGCCCAAACCAGAATATCTAGTTTTATTGTGTTTCTAGCTCCTTCAACTTGGTAACATTCTAAATAAACCCCCACAATATTCTCAACACAGATGAAGTCAGTTATTCCTCAAGTAGAACACATAAAATTTCCTGAACAGATTTTCTTGCTATAAACAAGGAGAGCTGGAGGTTCAAAACTTATTAGTTAAATTGTTATCTGTTAAAAATGTATAATCAACTATGACTATAAAGCAATGAGATGGTTTCCCTAAGATACCCATAAAAATAGGCCTGAATCATGGTCAAACCAAAAGTATTTAAGTGGGGGCTAATAAGGCCTCATTCTTGGACAAACAGAAAGGCAGGTCTGCAGGTACTACATGAGGAAAGGTTGTAATGGACATCAGCTGCATTGTTTCTGACTAGTATCACTGAATCTGAAAAATTGATTCCCTGACTTCATGTCTGAGCATTTCCAGTTGCCATCATTCCAGGCTTGGGTCATGGCAGCCCCATGTGTGTCAGAGAAGAACCGGTGCTCTATGCTTTCAACGTTGATTTTTTTGAACATAGATCACTAGATCTTCTTGTTTTTTGAACATAGATCCTTCTTCCAAGGAGCCTCTGGGTGGACTCAAACCTCTAACATTTAGGTTAGCAGTTCAGAACATTAAACATTTGCACCACCCAGAGACATCTAAGGAACCCAGGTACATCTTTATGAATTTTTATTTTCTGTACCACAAATTGTAAAAATTCAAGTTGTACAATGTCTAGGTTTGCAATGCAAAGCACCATATATCAGAGTCTGACATCTAAAGTACGTGCAGAAACCACCATCTGCAGCTCATTTATTTCAAATTAGAAGCTCATTTTTCAAATTATAAATGAGAGAAATTTAGAAAACAGCATATTGTTTCTGCTAACCTGAGGTCCTCTTTGTGACCAGGACACTTGGAGCTGCCCTGCTATGGTCTACATACCTGGCCTGCACAGGCTTGGGGTGTTTGAGAACCAATAAAAGTCCTTCTGGAACCGCTTACCCTTTGCTGTCTCATCCACCCCAGACATTCGCTGGTGAGGCGCTTGGTGAATTCATCCCACCCTGAGCCGCTCTGACAAGTGTATCCTCCACCACCCTTGGAGCTGGCTCTTCGGACTCGAGGGACACTGATGGCTTTGTAAAGAGCACGCATTTGCTCCTGAAGCTGAAGTAGTCTGAAAGGGAAGAAATACAATTATACCTTTGCAGCAAAACTTCCTATGAAAACATGCTCTGGGAAAAGGTCTCCTTTTCCGAGTTACCCTCGAGTCAATTTGAAGACTTTTCCCTTTACCATGTAAAGTAAGAATCTTGATCACATACTAAAAAAATAAACCCTATAATAGTGCTCAAAGTCCGAAACATCACAGAAAGTTTAACTGCCTTTGCCTAAGCTGGTAGCACCTCTCTCTTTCTCATGAGTTTCATCCTGGGAATTCTTCCTAGTGCCCTGGGTACCATAAGAGCAAAATCAGACCACACATTCACAGTTTAAACTTATGTTTCCAACTGAAAGGGTCTCGTTTTTGTATCCATTAAACTAACCTTGATTTGATATTAGACTCTTAAAAGCCCAGTGCTGAGCCAGTGGCCTTTACTACCCTCTACATGAATGTACAGCTACCATCCCTTAGAACAAACTTCTTTCTGAAGAAACTCAGTTCATGAAAATAAGTACTAGCCTTTCAACTGTTTGCCCTTCTTTTGGGCAGGTCTGTTTAGTTCTTTACATGATCTCACAAAATACGAAGGTGGTGATTTTGTGCAATTTACATCAGAGATACATAAAGGGCAAAATACCAAGCAGTGAGACTTTCCTTGGGACTATTCATTCTTTTTAAGGAAGACTTGGGTCACAGGACTGGAGTGTAAGTGGGTATGCTACATTCTTCCTGGTGAGGTCTGACTGCACTCAGTCTCTACTGGCAATACCTTTTCTGATAAGCATCACAGGGCTGGCCCATTTGCCGCATTTCTCTGATCAAGCTATCGGTGATTTCCATCTGGTCATTGGCCTGGGCAAAGCACTCATCCAGCTCTCTACCCCGAGCAAGCTGTATTCCATCTCCATATTTTAGTTCCTGAAAGAAAGGAAAGCAAATATATTATTAGAAGGAAAAGCTCCATGTGCATGATGATGGACATTTAAAGGAGTACGCTGCAAATCGGAGAGCTCAACCAATCGGAACTGGACCCAAGCTAGTTTGTGGAACCACAAATATCTTTTTAGATGTACAAAAGTCAAGTAAGTTTGTTTTTTTAATTAGACAGATGAACTGGAACCAGACCCCACATGATACCTAAATGAGGAAACTGACAGCCACCTACTCTAGGGAGATGCATCCCTTAGATCAACCAGCCATGAGACATCAGAAGGGCAGCATTGACATAGATGAAAAGCTGGACAGACAAGAATGCGTAGATAAAAAAGGGCACAGGGGTAAGAATTCCCAGATGCACAGCAGAGCTGACAAGGGACAAGGTTGAAGTCACTTCTTGGTCACATCCAGCTACCCAGAGGGAGTGAGTAGTTGAACCTGTGGGCTCAGGACCATAGTTGTAGGGCACATCAAGCTCAACTGGCATAACATACTACACAAAACATTGTTCCATCTCCTACTTTGGTAAGTAGCGACTGGGAACGCTTGCAAGCAGCCATCTAGATGCAACGATGGGTCTCTCCTCTTCCAGAGCAAAGAAAAATGAAGAAAACCAAAGATTCATAGAAACAATTAGTCCTAGTGACTGGTACACCATGCGATCCACAGCCTATACGACTATGAGACCAGAAGAACTAGATGGTGCCCAGCTACCACTGTCAACCACTCGGAGCGGGATCTACGTAGGAGATCATCCTACATAGAAAGGGAGAACAATGTGGAACAAAACTCAGAATCATTTGGAAAAAAAAAAGGGGGACAGGTTTGCTGGTCTGATAGAGCCTGATGGAACCACTGAGACTATGGCACTAGGTGCTCTTCAGGTCTGGAATTGAACCCACACCTGCGGCTTCCAGCCAAACAAAAGACAGGCATATGAGTTGAACGTTTTTACCTGAGGTAGATACATACACTCCTTGGAGGAACAATCATGGGAGAAAGAAGGGCTGTTTATGTACAGGGAGACAGCTCAGGGGGCAGGAGTGCATGGAGTGATGGACACAAGGAAGAGGTAACTGTTGGGAGAAAGTTGGAGGGGAGCTGTTGCATTGGGGTAAATTGTAGTCAATGTCATGAGCAACGTGTATGTGAACTGCTGTATGGAAAGTGAATTTGCTCTGTTGACTTTCACCCAAATCACAATAAAAAAAAAATTAAAAAAAAAGAAACAAAGAAAGAAAAAGGGGGCACATAGAGGGGATAATTGCAAAGAGGAGAGGGGAGGAGAGCTTTTTGTGGTTAGGGATGGTAATCAGGGCCATGAAATCAAATGTGCATGAACTGTTGAATATAAAACAAATCTGCTTTGTATATCTGCACACAAAGCACAATTAATAAATAAATAAATAAAATTAAGGCACTAGAACATTAAGTCATCTCCAAACAAAGCCCATAAATTCACTTGATTAAAATCTCTGCTTCCATCATAGACTGACCACTTATCAGGAGTGCTTTGTGGAGGGCCAGACTCCAGATTTAACCCTACAGGAACATCAGCAGCAGGGAGACTGGGGCTCCCTTCTTTTGCTGAAAAGATACAATTCAGGGAAGCAACTGAAGAGATGGCCATGGCCCCACCATTCTCGTTTATTTTTAGCAAACTCAGAGCAAATGTGGATACTGCAATGTTTTACATCATGGAACCAGTGATTTTTAAGTCTGACTTGATGAGATCCTAAGACAGCTCAGCCATCTCAAGGAATAAATACCATGAGGTCCTACACAAATATCACCTCAATTTTAAAATTCCTATTTTCCCACATTTTAATGTTTCTCAACTGCAGTTGTTCCCACAATATGGCCATTCTTCCTGAAAAATAAAACCAAAATCTTATTTAATGGATAGTGCACGTCACAATCCATTACATCCCAGCTATAGGAACATGTCCAATTGCATTTCTAGGAAGAGAAAGTCTTACAAATCACATCAATTAACAATAGATTGGTGCAATTCCAAAAGGGTGGCAATGTGTAGGGTAAATATTTGTTGGTAAGAAAAAAATAACTTTGTGTGAGGACTGGTTGCCATTGCTAAACTAACATCACAAGTTACACATCCCACTCTGGTCTGTTTTGAAAAAGGCAGTCTCTCCAACTGTCTATGTGAATGAGGTCAGGGAATAAGGACAGACAAGGTAGAGTCTAAGCCAGCCAGGAGCAACATCCGGTGCTGACAAGAGTTGGGGGGAACTGACCAGAAGAACAGAGATAACTCACAGGCTGTACGATCAGCTCGGCCCGCATCAAGCAATCTGAGCAGTTCTGTAGAAGTTCTTGGATGGTGTTCTGGTTCTGGTGCCTGGACATTGTACCAGTTTGGCTAATGGAGCAAACACAAAGAAACCAGACATGAAATAATTTTTTTCAACTCAAATAATTTCACACCTTCAAAGAAGTTCAAATATGGGACAAAAACATTCCTGTATCTTTCACGTAGATTCACCAAGTGTTAGCATTTTGCCATGTTTCCTTCATCCTCTCCCTCTCAATGTGTGTGTGTCCATTTATTTATGTACGCATGTATTTTTTGAACCATGAGCGTAATCATAACCCTTTACCTCCAAATATGTCAGTGTGTATGCCCTAAGAACAAAGACATACACTTATATAACTACAATAGAACTATCAAAAGCAGGAAATTAAGCATTGACATGATACTGCTTTTTAATCTATAATCTATAGACTTGATTCAAATTTCACTAATTAGTCCACTAATGGCCTTCACAGTAAATTTCTTTTCTGGGTCCAGGATCCAATCCAGAAATACTTTTTTCAGTTGTGAAAATACATTTCTCACAATGACACGGAGCTATTTCAGCTTCTCTATCAGCTGATTTATGCATCATCCTACAGCAGTCCAGAACAGGGAGCCCCACACCACCAATCCCTCCACAGGAAGCCTTTATACTGTCAAAAACATAGTATGAAGATGTCACTAGCATGTCTGGCTGAAGGGAAGAGTGGATAATGAGGGGGAAACTTACTCTACAAATACATTTTCTGCAAATCACAGCAAAAGGCAATAATGGTGAAGAAATAACAGTATGAGGAAAGGGATCCAAACCAAACTCAAAGTCACTGCCATTGAGTCGATTCCGACTCATAGCAACCCCCACTGGATTTCTGCCAACCTTCTGGTTAGCAGTCAAATGCTTTAGGGCCCATGCCACCAGAGCTCCTAGAGAAGTGATAGGAAATTTAAATACCATTCGTCCAAAAACAAGTCTCTTTTCCTTTCAAGATGATCGTAGTATAAGTATTTTTCTACACAACAATGCCCATCAAACTGTACATTTCAAAGTATGCACTTGCACTGATGTGGAAGAACCTTGGCAGAAGTCTTAAAACACAGTGATGCTAAAGAGGGATGTTGCCGATTTTCCCTAGTTAAAAGAAAGAAATGCCCACAGTAGTTTAATTAGCTCCACAGTACAAATGAATCTACAAAGGAACAAGGCTTTTAAAACAGTTTTACTTTTCAATTTGCCAAGAATCATGCTATAGTACAACTTAGTATAATTTAGCTTGAGAGTTTTTTTTTATTGTAGTAAAATATTTATAACAATATTTAAAATTGCATTTTAACCATTTTGAAGCGTACAATTCAGTGATTACCATTACCACTAGCCATTTCAAAAAGTTTCACATCACCCTAAACAGAAAAAGTTGTTAGACACTAGGGTGCTGACCTAAAGGTCAGTGGTTTGAACCCACCAGCCACTCTGCCAGAGAAAAGATGTGGCAATCTACTCCCATAAAGATTACAGCCTTAGAAACGCTATGGGCCAGTTCTACTCTGTCCTCTAGGATCCCTATGAGTCAGAATGCACTGGAAGGTAATGAGTTTTTAAACAGAAACTTAGTACTTAAGAGAAATTTAAAGCATATTAAATAATTACTTAATGTTCACAAAAAGTCCTCTTTAATATGCTCTAAGAAGACAGAGTTCTCATGGGGTTTTCAGGCGATTTGGCCCTTCACCAGGATCATCCTGCACTGCTTTTATATGTTTGATGTTCTGGACTTTCGTGTGTGTGTGTGTGTGTGTGTGTGTGTGTGTGAGAGAGAGAGAGAGAGAGAGAGAGAGAAAGAGAGAGAGCGCGAGTGAGCTGTGTGTTTTAAAGAAAGAATTCCACTGGTTAAAAAAAAAGTTTGAAAAACAATGGGTGTATTTGTGCAGTGATGGAGTAAGAATGCAAGTACATGGGAAACTTCTCTATCACACCACGTGGAAGGACTGACTTTCTTTTTCTGCCACCCATTTGGGGTTCCTCCCTGAAAGCAAGGCTCCCCAACATGCCTGCACTAGCTTATCGTGGGTGAGGAACCTGCTTCTCCCTGGGAACCACTCCCAATGATAACACCTGCTCCTCCAGTCAAGCCCAGGCAACGTGCCTCCCGAACTGTCCACCTATCAAAACCAAGATACCCACCCCATACCCATCTACCTTGCCCCTCCCACATCAGCGAGTCAATCTGTCTTTCTTCCACCCAGAATTATTCAGGAAATCTGGCACATGTCTCGTACTCCTGAGAAGTAAACGAGACCGCATCTGTTGCCCTAACTTGTGTAAAATTCCAATTGACTTAGAATCAGAACACTTTCCAAAAAGTACCTATTATAAAACTGAGGAAAGAAATTAAAGAGACAAAAGAAAACAATTGAGACAGACAGAAACCTCATTTAGAACCCTACATAGATTAGGAATTTGAAAGGTCTTCCGTAATTGTATTTGTCAGAATATTCCCTTTTGGGTTGACAGTGCATTTCTTCTGAAACTTAAAAATTCTGTTCAGCAATTTGCTTGAGAGGATGATTGCCATGAAAAAGGCCAGTCTCAAGCATAGAATGAAAGAGCTATTTCTTACAATGGAAAGCCAGAGTTTCTTAGCTGATTTAATAGCATGAACTGCAATAAATACTATCACAAGCTGAGAGGCAACTATCCAACAGAGGCAGAGAAAGGGAAAATGTGTGTGCGGTATATTGGAACTCTGTACTATCTCTGCAACTTTGTGTAAATTTTAAATTATTCTAAAATAAAAACCTATATAAAACAAACAAAAAATAGCCACGGAGGCCAAACTCAACTGTGAAAGAATATACCAAAGTGTACATGCAAATCTTTTTTTCTCTTGGTTATGAAATTTTTTTTTTTAATTGTAATTTGGATGCAAGAGCAAATTCCATACAGCAGTTCTTATACATTTTGTTTCATGACATTGATTGCAATCCCCATAACGTAACAGCTCTCTTCCCACTTCCTCCCTGTGGTTACCTTTACTGTGTGTCCTATTTTCCTATGCATTCCTGCCCTCTGATCTATTTCCCTGTATAAATAATATTGTCCTTCTGATCTCCCATGCTTGATTGTTCTAAGGAGTGTACCTACTTGGTGTAAATGTTCACCTTATATACCTGTCTATTGTTTGCCCAGAAGCCATGGGAATGAGTTCAATCTCAGTCCTGAAGGGTGCCCAGGGGCCATAGGGGGTTCATCAGTCTCTATCAAACCTGGTTTTTTTATGACTAGGAGGTTTGTTCCACATTTTTCTCCCACTCTATCCAGGATCTGCACATCTTTTTAAAGTGAATTTATAATCCCAAATTCATGTGACAAGAAAATACGAAAACTCACCAGCATCTTTGTACTCAGCCCCTATCTTCTTACATGACACTTTGAGATTAAATGTATCGAGGAAAAAGGGAGGTGAGACAATTAAACACTGCTTGAAACACTCAAATTTAAAATATTGGTGGATTTTCTCCATTTTTGTTTTGTCCCCTCTTAGATTTAGAAGATACTCCTACTTCTACAAAGCAATTTGCATTTCAATCCTACAAATATTTGATCTCAAAAAAAAAAAAAAAAAAAGCACAGGTAACTTCATATGCTGTTAAAAATATTAGAAAATAATTATTTATCTTTTGCATATATTTACCACATGTCCACTAAAGCCCTTATGTCCTTTACTTGGCACTTTAATAAACAGAGTAATAACTGTGTGAGAAAAAAAGGGGAATGTGTACAAATCCAATCTTTTTAACTAAAAACATTCAACTATCAAAACTATTTGTTTCCAAAAAGTTCTTTTCACCCCAACCAGAAAATTATGAAACAGTAATTCTCCATCCCCACCTCCTTCAGACCCTTATCACCGTTAATCTACTTTCTTTCTCTAGGTATTTGCCTATTCTAGATACCTAATCTTTTTAAGGGTCCGAAAATTAAAAGCTAAAGTGTTTAAACAATGAAATAAAAAATATTTGGTATTGCAATTAGTCTACAGGAAAGTATGATCTGACTAACCAAATTTCATCTTATATATAGCTTTTCACCACTGTGTCTGATCCTTAGAGCAAGGTATATGTAACCTATCTTTCACTCATAATTACATTTCAGTTTGAGGTGCAGCCAAGAATACCATCTAAAACAAACCCAAAGAAAGGTAACCAGGTGTACAGCTTAGGGACAGCTCAATCCACAAAAACAGGCCAATTGAGAGTTATGGACTAAGGAAAAGTGAATCCACCTTCAAATATCAATTTGCTTTTTTTTAGCCCCGTGAAGAATCTACACAGAACGTCCGTACTAAAATCAACGAGGAAGTGCCAGCAGAAAGGATCAGGACCCACGTAAATTCACACACTGCCCAGTTGTACAAGGCTGGATTGTTTAACAGGTCAGCTAGGAGAACTTGTCTCAGGGAACCATGTATTTTTAAAAAGTTGTGTAATTTGCAACTTGGTAAGTCAGATCATATTTTTTATTGACTAATAATTTTATTTTTTATTCCAGAAGTTTTCTAAACCAGTTTTCTCCTCTGTTGGGCTAGATGATATGGAAGATTTCTTCTACTCACTCATTGTGTAACTCTATGAAACTGCCAAACACATTCTTCTATTGAAAATAATATAAAAGTTTGTGCTCTGGCTTCTGATAACTTAGCTTCCTCTTCAATTTATATAGTGCTCTTGGGGGGAAATGTAAAATTCTATAATATGAAGAAATATTTTTAAATAAATGTATTTATTCAACAAGGATACAAAGATTTTTAAAAATCCCTAGCAACAAAGACATTTTCAACACTGGTATGTATGAGTGTTAGAGGTGGAAATTTTGAACTGCGTTAAGAATTGTACTAACAAACCTCAAAGTTCAATCTCTAAATCTCATTTCGGTGGCATGGTAGATGGAAGAAAAGTCATATGTCTCTTTTTTTTTAAGAATTGTTGTTGCTGTTGTTAGGAAAACAAAACTCATTTGGGGCAGGTAAATCAAAAGAATACTGACTTCTAAATGAAAATGAAAAGCTATC